AAAAACAGCACTGAGATGGGAAATAATTAACAGCGTCCCTTGACAATCCTAAGCTTTTCTGTTACTCATCACCTCTGACTAGGTTAAAAAGTGCATACACAAATTTAGTTTTCATGAAGGTTCTCAATTCTAAAGAAAAATTAATTAAAGCAGTATGGCAATACAAAATAGCACAATTTCAAGGGATTTTAGGGACAAGTGAAACCTTCTCTACGTATCAGTAACAGAAATTTTCATTATGTGGCTTTTAAATCTTATATTTGATTTTGTTTAGATTATAGCTCACACTCATAATAAGCTTTCAGTGTAGATTTCTACTTAATCTACACTGTCTGCCTCCCTCCACTCTGCCCAATATTTAAGGTAATAGAAAAGTACCCTGTAAGACATAACAAAAGTGATACTTTATTTCTGTTTTTTCAACCGGACTGCAACACATACGCTTAAGGCTACCATGGGAGAAAATAGGCAACTCATGATTTATTAAAATCATAAATGTGAATGACTTTCTATGGTGTTAAACCACCAAAGCATGTTGCTTTCATTCCCATCTATGGCGTGCAAATAACACCTCACAGCTCCTACCCCATGAAAGATCCCTGAAAAAAACATCCAAATTTCTTGGAAAAAAACAAATATCTAAATTTAAAAAAAAGAAAGAAAATCTATGTCATGTTGCTTTAAGCTATTTAAGCTGCTTGTATTTTAGTTACTTTAGGATTCCATATTATGAATTCTTCAAAAGATGCTGTGAAAAATAGTATGATTTACTAGCATACTATCATGTAACACTACAGAATATAAGCATATGGATTATTAATTTTTAATAAAATATTTCATTTATCAGTTTATTCTCTTTGTAATCTGAGGTATAGCCCTAACATAATTTATCAGGAATGTCACAGAAAAATCCAGACTCAAGAACATGTTTTGTAATGTAGGGATTAAAAAAAAAAAATGTGGTGAGAAGTAAACCTAAAAGAAAGCAATACAAATTCTGTATTTTTACAACGAAAATATTAGCATTATGTTTTTATTTAGTAGTGAACTATACATGCTGGAATATTGGAAACTGATAAACAATTGAGACACAAACTTTAGTAATTTATGTCAAAAGAGATTAGACTCACATTAAGATTCAAAATGACAAGAAACACAAGTTAGAATGAAGGTATTGGCTTTCTATAGCAAAAAACAGACTTGGTATGAATGGAATGTGCTCTACAATGATACCATAATAAGGGAGTAAAAATTGCTCCAAAATGATTTTTATATACAGTCACAAAGGATTAGAAAATAAACAAAGCAGGAAACTAGCTAGTAAAACTGGATTATAATCATAAACTAAACATAAATTTCAGATAGCTGTGTCCATTTATCTGATCAGTAGACCAACAGGACAAATAGGCACAAAGCAAAGATATTTAACTAGAAATATGGCTTTCAAAAGAATCTCAAGATCAGACAGGAATTTGATGGGTTCTTTGACTGTTTCATTTCATTTGAATTTGATCACAGAGACAGCATCCTAAAATCCAAGTTAGGGCATAATAGAAAATGTAAAATTAGTCTCTTCCTCCAATACAGGTGTTTGCTCTAGCAAAAAAAAGTTTCCTGTGTCTTATTTTAATTGACATGTATGGGTAATGTAAAGAAATAGTAGTAAAATGAAACAGAACTAACACAAAGTTTTGGAAATAGTGAGAACATTGAAGATGACAAATAAGGGTTGAGCACGTACTAACCTTCCTGCCTTTTATTCTATTAGTTCAGAAATGATCATACACTAAATGACGTATTAGGGCTGTTATAGAGATAAATGGCATAATGTTCTGTCTTCCAGTTACAGGTCAAAAGTGATACCCACTATAGAAAAATACTAACTAAAAAGACAGCTGGCCTCACAGTACTAACTCCAGTCTTGCATTAACTTGCCCAGTTTGAAGGTGACAAACCACCTACTTGACATATGAATTTACTTATCTATTAATATATTGCATTTGCATGAAATAACCCTTCAAAACGCCTTGCTTGCAAAATAATAAATTATTGATACTTAACTCTATAATGTACCAATTGTTATCTCCTTTTTTCCCTAGTCTTACTGAAGTATAAATGACATGTAACACTGTATAATTTAAAATTATACAATTTGATATTTTACTATATTGAGAAAAGACTACCAAATTAATGATAGTAAACATACCCGTCACCTAATACAGTTAGCTTTTTGTGTGTGCATGTGTGTGGCAATAACTTTTAAAATCTAAATCTATTTTCTTAGCAACTTTCAAGTACATTGATAACTATCCTTATGCATCTTATGCATTACATCTGCAGAATATATTCATCATATAACTAGAAGTTTGTACCCTTTGCCCATCATCAACTATTTCCCCAATTCCCTTGCTTGGCAACCACCAATATATTCTCTGCTTCTCAGTTAAGGGCTGTTTTTAAATTCCACATGTGAGAGTGTATATTTTATATTTATCTTTCTCAGATTTATTCGACCCAATGTAATGCCTCTAAGATTTACCGATATTATTGCAGATGCCAGAATTTCCTTTTTTATTATGATTGAATAATATTCCATTCTGTGGTTATGTCTACATATTGATATACTATGTTTCTTAATCCATTCATTGACAGACATATTTTAAATTTATCTTTTAAAAACAGAATCATCACATGCAATGTCCACATATACCTTATGCAAACTAACACATGGTATATTTTCTTAACCTAAAGATTTTCAAAGTACTCATAAAAGGAATTACCCTGAACAATTAAATTTGCATAAAAATATGTAAGCCAAGCAAAATATGCCATTGAAGTAGTTTGCATTGTAATGAGTTATGTCTTACATATTTTCACAAAGTATATTTAAAAAAATAAATCCCAGGAAATAATTAGGAATAAGAGATAGTGAAGTACAAACCAACAATGAAAAATCATCTGGCCTCAGCTCTACTGTTAGGTTCTTTTACCTCTTTTAGAACTTTCATTCAAAAATAGTTCTGAAACAGAACTTGCAAAGTGAAGTGATTCCTCAAGACATCAAGTATAAGGATATTTTAAAAATACAATTATTCCGGTCACAAAATCCAAAATTCATACTTGAGTTTAGTGAAAATACTGCAACACTCACTACCACACTAAATTAAAGTGTTAAAGCCTGTATATGAGAAATGGGGTGGAAAGAGTGCACGGGACTATGGTGAAGACGCATGGGTGAATTGGTGATGGGAAACCTATGGGGATTATAACTGAGATGAAAAAATGTACAAAGTGAAGAATGATGTAAAAAAAATAATTTTAAAAACTGAATGTCATCAGTTAGCTCTCAAGAAAGTTGAGAATAGAATTTCAAAATACAAAGTTCACTCAAAATCAATAGACCAGAAATAAACAATTGGCTCTTAACGATTTCAGATTATTTCTGATTAGAAAATAAATTATGAATCTAAAAGATTATCATAAAATTTATCCCCTTCTATTTCTTTTCCTTTCTCTAGTGCAAAGTAAAGGATTTACATATTATCACTATTAAAATACAAAAGCATGTTATATTATCTCAAGAGGCAGAGGATTAACATTAATAGAAAAATGAATTAAATAACTTTTTTTAAGACCTGCTAGAGAAAACAACATAACCAATCAAAAGCAACCATTAGAATCAGCAAGGAAAGCCTAGGTCTGGCACTGGGTCTGCAATGCAGAGGAAAAGGCTACTTTGGAGAACAGGACGCTCAGGGTACATAAACAGAGGAGGAGTTTTAAATTGGCTCAAGCAATAGCAATAGGCATGCATGATAAACAGGAACAGAACATATATATTAAAGCAGGACTTACTGGCTGTTTTAATAATACTCCACATTTATGCAGTTTTTGTTAAATATAACGATCATGCCAAAGGAAATACCACAAAATATTCTGGGCCCACTGATAAAAGGACTTCTAGACTTTAAATTTGGTCCATAAAGATATCCATAGTTTCCCCATTTTCTCCTTACTACTAAAAATCAATGCCAGCAATAAAATCACTCAGAAAGACATTCTTACGAACACCTTTAATTTATAGTCACCATACATCTATTTCAACACTGAGACTTAAAATACATAATCATGACACATATTTTCATCATACAAGGCATTTTCTTTGTATTGTCCTTCAGGCTTTTAACTTTGGTTAAAGGAAATTAAATTCATAGTTATTGGACATCATTTAGAAACAGGGCAAATGTTCCTATTACAATTAAAGTCATCAAGTTGAGCATCTGCTCTGAGATCAATAGGAGGGGATTCTGTGTGGACAGCTGACAGGTTCTCATATTCATATTCAATGTCCTGATTGCCTCTTCAAAAAAAGATTTTAAGAAAAATTTAAGTAGCACATATGTGACAGAAAATTAATGGAGTGGACTTCAACACTAAGATGTAAACTAAAAGTTCAACAGTCTTTAGAAAAACAATTCAGATGAAGAAGAATCTGTGTCCCTCCAGTGGCAGGGCATTGTTACTGAAAGTTGTGACTCAAGTTCACGGCAGATACTCTAAAATTTGCTTAAATATGAGTGTATAATTCAGTAAGTGAGAAAAGATTCCATGTTATTATAAAAGTTCTGTATGAGCATGGTTGTTCAATGATCAGTGAAGACCTGTCATCTTACTGTATTTAAAATACTTATTTTCAAGAATTATAAAATAGGGTTGGGCAAGAAAATGAAGCGGTATTTTGTAACTCCCCTGATAAAATGGCATTCTTTGTAGGTTCATGAACAGAGGAGTAACAACTACTAATATATTTAGTATTTCTAAACTAGATATGTATCCACTGTACAGGATGATCCAGAAAGAAGAAAACAAAAAATACAAGTAAGTATGGTACTGCATACAAAAGTATGTGTACAATATTAACCTTATGAACTAGGTTTAAATGTGTCCACAGTGGATAGAGTGAGAAGAAGCACTAAGTAATAAAATAAATTAACCCTTACCGCTGTCCATGCATTTCTTTTGCACCGAGCACATAGCCATCCATCACATATCTCATGAGAAGGAACGCCATAGCAACCTATAAAATAATAGTATGGACTCATAAATTATATATTTTACATTTTGAGAAAATATGAATCTTAGCACTAATAAATAATAACAGAAAAACTGTCTACCATACCTCTTTGACTCTCATTGTTTGGTTCTCATGTTTTACAGTTAAAAGAATATCAGCCCCAGGAAACATGAGAGTGAAGGGCTTAAGAGTTACTAATCCTCACATTAGTTATCACAGAGGCTACTGCTGATAATTCTTAAGTGAGAGTAATAAAATTCCTAAAATTTAAGATCTAGTCCTCTGTTCATAATTAATTAATTAAGCAAAAAATTTTTTTTAATGAGCTGTAATTCATGAAGCAAACTATGGAGTTATAAAATACAATAAATAAATAAATTGGCATAATTTTAAAATTAATGCAACTTAACATTAAATTCAAAATTTTATTTAATTAGCTTTAACTGCAATGATGAGGACAAAGGATGCAGGATTCATGGTTAGTAATGAAGGGATGTTGCAATTTAACTTTATTCCGTACATGTCTTATTCAAAATAACTATGAAAGAAAACAGTTGAAGATACAAATATATGTACCAATTACATGTGTTACTAAAAAAAATGTGTTACTAAAACTTACTGAAAGAAGAGGGACTTCAAGGATTCAAGGAGTAATTTTTTTTTT